TTTTTTTCCTCAATTGTCAGTCAGGCGCATGCCAGTCTACGGGCCTGTTGTCCGTGTAACGAGAATCAAGAGACAAATTGGGTCGTCCGACGTGCCAAGCACGTTGCTATCTGCGGATAGGTTATAGGTTCTTTTAAGACGAATTAGAGCACTCTCGGAAGGGCCTACGGCCATAGTAGTCCGGCAGATGACCTTGACGGTGTGCACACACTGTCAACACATGCAACAATGGCTCTGGCATCAGCCGTGGCTACGCTATCGAAATAGGTCCGTCTTCTTCAGCCAGCCCCAACACCGCAAAAGCTCGATATGGACATGATCATCGACACCTTTAACACGGAGGGGAAGGATACTCCGTAGGTGGGCGATCTCAGATAAGTGGTCCATTTTAATTGCAACTGCGTCATGGGCAGAAGAGCCGTGGCCTGTTGGGTTGGGGACCCTTCTGGGGGCTCCATCCGACCATCGGCACCGTAGTGGGGTTATATCGTTTCAAGATATGTTGTTTGGGTTTAACGGATTCGGACAGGGCTTTCGTGGATATAGGGATGGACCATGAGGGATGATTCGATGCCCTATCGACGCTGACGATATTTGTTTTATGTGCAAGCCATTGTCCATCATGGACTGGTATTCGTCTCCTACCGGGGCATGTAGAATGTATTGCCGCCGGATAACAAAAGATTCTCTATTAATGTGCCCTCTTATCAGGGGCGCAGCAGTGGGGATCGCGTGGCGGTGACCGTGTTTCTGGTCCTGAGACCCATCTTAGGTCGGGTCTCTGACCCCTTTTGGATAAAATGTGGCGTCATATACTATACATAGTATATGCTTCTGGCGACGGTGACTGGTCCCCTCAATTCTGAGAGCTTCTTATGCGGTGTCCCCTCCCGAGTACCTGGTGGTCTCAACCAAGATATGCACTGGAGGAAGTGAGCAAAGTGTATCGTGTAGGGTTCTGGTCTTTGGGTCCACGCCATCAGTGGCGTGAGGCCATGGAATGGTGGCCTTGTATAGCCAATAACCGCCGCAACAGCCGAAACACCAGTGGGACTTGGGCCCGACCGGTCCAATGGCACGTCGAGAGCATCGCCGAGACCGGCTGACAAAGCTTAGCGAAGCTTAGCTTCTCCAGTGGGGTTCCAAAGTTGCTAGTCGTACTAGTCTTACGACTGATTCGAATCCTAGGATTAATCTCTCATAACAAGTTACCCCCCTTAGAGAGGGGCAGGCAAGGCCTTGCCGTCATTTATAAACCCCCTCTCTGACCCCTCCCCCTCTTCCCCCTTTTCTCATTCATCTCATCACAATCTCTCTTCCAATAACTACATTATCACACATCTTACATTCACCATGGGTTGGTTCGGTATGGCTCCCGGTCCTCACTTTAATCCTATTGTTTCTTACCCGTACTAACCAAATCCCAGACGACGACAGTGACCAGGCTCGCCACTACGAGCAGTTCAACAACTACGACGGTAGCGAGGAGCACAAGGCCAAGTTCAGCCATGAACTCATTGCCGGTGCCGCCTCCTTCGAGGCCATGAAGGCCTACCAGGACCACTGTGAAAAGAACGGTACGTTGAATCATCTACTTTCTCTCCCTCTCTTCATATCGATTTCGATTCCGAACATCTACTAACAAAAGACCGAAACAGGCCAGCCCCAGAGCCACGAGACCGCCAAGGAGCTCCTGGCCGGTTTTGCCGGTGCCTTCATCGACCGCGAGGTCGAGAGCAAGGGTCTTGACTTCGTTGACCGGGAGAGGGCCAAGCACCACGCCCGCGAGCAGCTCAACGAGGCCTCCTCTCGCGACTTCTACTAAGTGCCTTCGCGGGATCCAGCTATGATTGTGTTATTGTCCTAGCTCTCTCGATATATATACCAATTTGAATACCAATATACCACGCGCCATCTGTTTCTCCTCCCATACCGTCCCACCAAGATATGTAACTAAGAAAACAGGAGAGGATCTAGATAAAATGCACCTCATCCTTATGAATGTCCCCATTCCGGACCAACTCGTCCAACCGATCTTTCGTCCGCTGCGCCACGGCCCGGGCATACTCCGGACCCACCGGAAGCGACGACGGCGTTTTCTGCGGATCGACCTTCAGCCAGGCGACCGCTTTGGCATCCGGTCCCCGACTGGCCGCGCGGATCTCGTCTAAATCGGTGTTGGTATATCCGCCGCCCATAATGATCGCCGCGGGGGATTTCCCATGTTCTGTAGATGTAGTCGAACTCGTCTGACGCAGTAACGCAGGAATCTCAGTCTTCGCGTCGACGGCGAAAGGAAGAGATGCGTTACTATATGATGGACTCCGTCAATGATGGATACAAGACTCATTCACACAACAATATAACCAACGAAAGATAGAAGATGGGAAAATACCTTCGTATTCAGGATGCAATGCCTCCCGCACGAGATCGCCGATCTGACTCGTCTTTCCGCACACGATGACGGGTACTGCGGTCGGTATTTTTCCGGCGGTACTTCTAAAAAGTCGGGCTGTTGCGGGGATTGTTTTGGGGAACATTGTATAGGCGGAGGATTTGGTGAGTTTGTTGAATGGACTTGGTACTAATGATCGTGTTGATGGTGAGATGGGTGTTTACGAGTCCGACTCTTTCTTTGTAGTCCGATTGTGGTTTGTCTGACTATTAAATATCATATGTGAAGAGAAGAGTGGTGTTGTCGGTGGTTGTGATGATAGTCAATACGAGGATTATAGTTAGATACGAGGCGGGGGGAATTGAGATTCACCGCCTTGCTGGAATAAATAAATCCATCTGGAGTTCTGGAATCTGATAATATAAAATAGCGGTTGGAAACGGCGGACATGTGAATTCCCTCTTCCGGTTAGCTTTACCGTTTTAAATATAGCATCCTGATACACTGCTCTATAATTACTATTTATCTTACTCTTTAAGTATATAAAAACCTCTCTTACTATTCCAAGTACTCTTTTTTCTAACTTCGTTATTTTCCCCAACTCTATCCCCTATATTCTACACTTACTCGATTGGGCTGTCGTATCGGCGATGAAGATGCCCACAATATAGAGAAGGGAATTGTTCCCAACAATCCAGAACACTTGAGCAGCCGCGTACATTTCCACACGATCGGTTGCCGCCATCATGATAAGGCCCACAGTCGTTATCAGAAGGGCGAATGCATAAGCGTGAGGTTGTCCAGAGATGCCGAGTATCTTCTCCATGGTCAAGTTGCAGACTCCTTTAATAATGCTGCTGAGGATGGTGATGGTAGGAGGGAGGGAGACATAAAGGCGGATGTGACATAGGGAATGAGCGAAGTTGGTCCAAACGGTGGTGATAGCCTCGACCTCTTTGACACCGGCCTGAGTCGGTTCTTCCTGAGCCGAGATAAAGTGGCTAAACACTTCACGAGTCCCGACATGTTCGGGATCCTTGCCTTCTCTGCTGTGGGGTAGCACTGCTGAGTGTTCAGCTATCCATAGAGGGAAATTCCACCAGACGGAACGAAGCAGAGGAATAGAATGACACGCGCAACAGAAAAGTTGATTGCTGACATGAAGGTTTTCTTAGGTAAAACAATGGCTGCTAGTGGCCATAAATTCAATGGTAAGAGGACTTTGGCTGCAGTGAGATTAATGATGCCGCCGACCACACTGCCCAAGATGCTGGCAGTGGGCATCGGAGAGGAGATGGCATAGACGGAGGAGACATACGGAGCCAGGATGCCGGCGGCGGTCGAGAGGATGCCCTTGACTAGTTGAACAAGCCACATCATGATGTGATGGATGACCAGAGCGATAGTTATCTATATCTCGGATGGCTCGTGCCAGGTGGACTCCGTGTTGGTATGATACGGTGATTCCTATCCCCCGGAGTTTCTAAGATACGAGACAGGGCGTGTGCTCTAAAAGCCCTATGGCCATCTAGGTACGACGCACCGTGCTGTCACAGGATAGTATATCGACCGTGTTATCCGGTCCTCTGTTACTCATAGCCGCTCTATCTGTCTGTTACGATGTAAGCTGGCTTAGCCGAGACATTATATGACCTAGTACGGTTTAGCGGACGTTAGGCTAGTATAAAAGCGCAATAAACAATGTGCTCAAACCCGCTCTCCTGATTCGCACCAAGATCTGATTTTGTTTCTCCATAGGGACCATCACCCTTCGAAGCCAAGACTGCTTGGCAATAATTGCAGCATGACTCAGTCGCGACCTAATTTATCGGCCAAATGAAGCGGCCATGTTTCCCCCATTGGAAGTTCTGGCTGCTCAAGTAACGCTTCCGCTCGTGGCGATTCCTGGAGTTGATGGCACGGTAGTAGGTGTTCCACTACTACACAAAATTTAGGAATGCAAATTGGCCCAAGAAAAGGCTCAGTCAATTTTGAACAAGCAGTACCCCTGACCTTTCTATCCCCATGTGAGCGCCACTCCATTTATGGAAAGCATAAATTGGAACAGGACAGTCGACATAAGCTGGATCTTCTTTATACCATATTGAGCTAATCAGTGAATCAAGATTCCCATCATATATACTGAACATCGCTTGGGACTTCAAGTGTGCTCGACAACTGGTCATTGGCCTAGCGACTATTAGTTTTGGCCAAAAAAAAGTGAAAAATAGCATACGTGGGATTTCACATACCCTTCTTACGACAACCAAGCCTGAATGATACCATGCTTAGAAATGCTTACGGATCAGAATATAGCAGGAACCCTGGCGGCCGCGATGCCGATGCCCTATGCTGCAAAAATGTTCGGGCCGCTTACTAACGATAGTCGCTGGCGGCCGCCGAACCCGACTCCATATCCACCCTTGTGTGGCTGAATGGGCACGAACTTTGTACTTACCAATCAGCGTATTCTAAACAGATATGATTTAGCTTTAACAAGACCGAATCTTCGAATCACAGATCGGCATCTTTTCAGGAACTGAGCCGGAGGGTTGCATGTCCCCTTTTCGGAGAACCATGACCTTCTTCTATAAAGTCTTTCGTTCCTAGATCCCCCGTTGAAGAGGATCAGGCTACCTTCTATTGCTATATCTGTCAAGAATGGCATCCAAACCCACAGTCATCATCATCGGCGGCTCATTCGCAGGACTGGGTGTTGCCAAATCCCTGTTGACAGAACTGCCGTCAGTTAAAGTGATCCTGATCAACCCTTCCGAGAAGGCCTTTTTTGTATTGCTGCGCCGCGCATCTTCGCAGATCCAGACTCCTTCGCACCCAATCAGTACCTCATTGACATAAAGGACACTTTCCAAAAGTACCAGTCCAGCAGGTTCGAGTTCGTGCAGGGTTCGGCGACCACGATTGACCCCACTTCGAAAACCGTGTCCGTCTCAGATACGAATGAGACTCTTCACTACGATATTCTGGTCATCGCCTCAGGCAGTACCACAGCTTCGGCAATTGGGAAGGATAGTGCTGTGGTACTTTTCAAGTCAGCGAACACCGATGATATCCAGAGCTTGATCCGATCCGGCCAGGAAGAAATTGCGAGCGCGAAAACGTTTCTTATAATAGGTGGTGGGCCTGTTGGGGTAGAGTTCGCTGGGGAGCTTGCAGAGGCTGTCCAGGGCAGGGCCGGCGCCAAAGTGACCTTGGTTACCCAGTCTGATCGTCTTCTTTCCCCATTGAAGGAGGCCGCGTCTACGAAAGCAAGAGGTCTCTTGGAAGATAAGAATATTAGCGTCCAGACTCAACGCAAGGTACTGCACGTCGCGCAAGACTCGATCACCAAGAAATGGACTGCTACATTTGATGGTGGCGATAAACTCACAGTGGATCTTTGCATCTCAACGACTGGGGTTTTGCCGAACAATTCATTCATCCCTGCTGAATTTCTCTCCGAGAGTGGCTGGGTGAAAGTCAACGATGCATTCAAGGTGCAGAATGGCACCAACCAAACAGTAGATTCTGTCTACGCTGTGGGAGACATCACAACATATCCAGACCGTCTGGCCTCCAAGATTCGGGAACAGGTCCCCATCGTCACAGCGCATATCAAGGCTGATATCGCGGGCAGCGGTGCGCGGCCCACATACGCAGCGAATGGCTCCCTGATGATGCTAGTGCCTGTCGGTAGATCCGGTGGTACTGGACAGCTGTTTGGCTGGGCTCCCTGGAGTTGGCTCGTGTCTAGGATTAAGGGTAAGGATTACTTTATCTCACAGGCGGCTAGCTTTCTGGGCGGTAGTTAGACCTGGAATTTGGAGTTGTATTATATTCCCCATTTTGCTATTTGTTTTGTTGTTTACCGCTTTATTTGATGTAAGTCGCGAGCACTTCTGCTAGATTAAAGATAGATAGCCAGAATCTCTGATTCTCTGACAAGCTGGCACGCATGTAAAGGTGCAATACAAGTCCATAAATCGATAGTAAGGAAGCTCAAGAGTATTGATTTGAAATGACCGAGCGGATGCTGAGTAGAATATATAAATCGAGGGCCGAGACCCTGGGTGAAAGTGGAGCACTCTGCTGCAGACCACGTGACTCAGGACTTGACCCTGAATTACATAAATTTATATCTTTGATCCCTGAATCCAAAGCTCCCAATATTGCATTGTTGACTTTATCTGATCATGGCAAGCCACGTGGAACCTGATAGCCCAGACATACGTGAATCTGCGGTACACGCATGCGCCCAATGTAAAGCAAGTAAAAAAAAGTGCGACAAAGCGCTACCTTCCTGCAACCGATGTTCTAGGTTCGGTGCTCCCTGAGTCCCTGTATCCCCAAGTCCCACCGGAAACTTATGTAAGCTAGACTCATACTCCGTTGCATCTATGATGAGGGAGCCGGCATAGCTCCAGCAGAGATCATATCCAAATTTCAGGCCGTCTTCGATCGCCTGGACAGACTGGAAGAAAATGTTTTTGCACCCACCGCGGCCACCAATGCCTCACCAGCCCTTCGTATGACCTTAGCTGCTAGACCAAAGGTCCCGGAAGCAGATAAATGGCAACTATCTCCTCAACTACTCCAGCCTTCGTATCTGGGTATGATTGCCGGGGGAAGCGTCTTCAGAATATTAGAAGAGAAGGACATGACGATGCAGGGGTTAGTTCATAAGTACTTCGACACAATACACAATTATATGCCCATTATGTCTAAGGTTAAGCTTAACAAGCAAATCCAGGAGCTTGAGGGTTTAAACTCCAAAAGCGCGTTCATGGTTTTAATCTTGGCTATTCTTCTTCTCACCGAGCATCCGCCAGCTGACTCCGATGGTGCACTTGGTTTATCAGAACTCTACCAAGTTTGCAAGTACCACTTCTCTTTGTTTATGTCACTGAAAGAGCCTTCCATTGAACTGATACAAGCTGGACTTTGCATCACACTATATGAATATGTACACGGCATCCCTGAACGTGCCTATGTCACGATTGGGACGTGTGCCAGGATGGTTAGCGTCCTCAGGCTTCATTCCAATGCAAATAGCGCGCCTCAATCTGCCTTAACAGAAGACTGCTTTGACGAAAACGCACATGTTATTTCGGCAATGCATCTGCTGAACAGGTGAGGATATCCCATTTATATTTTCCCGCTTGGCTATCTTAAACTGACCAAACAACCCCATTGGTAGGCACATTTGCCTCAGCTTTACGATGCTCGGCAAGCATCTCAACTCTGAATATTCACCTATTATAGAGGCCCGGGAGCCTCCCATGACCTCAGGTATTCAGCTAAGTATCCTATATACTATGAGCCTATAATAATCGCATTCATGAATAGTCATGGGACGGGCAGTGAACGCCCTCAGCCGTGAAGCCGAAGGATGTCGAATACTATGTCGTCTCCAACAGATCATTCATGAAGACATTCCAGCATGTGGGCCTGGAACGTCCTGGCCCACTCAGTTAGATCGAGTTATTGCTCTGGATACCGAATTGCAGAACATGAAATTAGGGTTCCAAGACTACAACGACTCCTCCACTTGGCGAGGCGATTTTGCAGCATATGCCGTGTAAGCTTTTCCCCCCTCTAACGTCAACGTCATACAATCATGATGAAAGTAGATCCTAATAACCCACTAGAGCCTCCCTTTTCATGTTAAATCTTGTCAGCCAACAGGAAGAAATACTGCCTGTCACTGAATGCTTCGGCCAGCGCCATATGGAAATCCTGACCTCCATTGAGATGCTGATGAAGATGGTGAACAGTCAACTCAGTGAGGCCGTGACCACTGGGTATAATGCTGATTTCCTGACACCGTTTTCTATAACTATACTGGCGCTTGGAGCAAATGGCCTCGAATCGATCTCATCAATGGAAATGGGAGAGGAGTGTAAATTAAACCAAAAAAGGGTTTTCACAGATTTGCTGCGCTGCCTTGGCGCGCGATGGAGACTGGGAAGTAAGATACTCCGCATCTTCCCAACGTGTTCGTGACTGATTGTTCATTTATAGAGGAATACTTGAAAACTATAGACGTTGTACGACCACCGCCCAATCCCATGTAACCCGCACAATTGGCAGTATCCAGCGAATCACTATGTGATACAGCTACATTTTGCACAAGGCTGAGAAACCCGTGTGGTTAGAGCCAATCAATATGATTAATCTCGACTAGTTGCAGAAAATAAGACACGTCCTATATTATATAATTGGGTCGTTAGCGTGGGGTCATTGAATTGCCCAGCGCAATATGCCAGTTGGCCTTCTCTGAGATTTCTCCCAGGTAATGGTGCAGCGACGCCTGCTGTATACATAGCATAGTATATAATAGTGAATAATGGGAATCACAAGTCAGTTATGTCGAACTTGAGAATTTCACGTACTGTAGCCGAAGAGATCCCTGGGCCAAGCGTAAGCACCAAGCCTTAGCTTTCTTGTTATGGGTGCCTGACGAGATTTGGTCTTGACTCTTGATTTCAAATCTCAGGATGCAAATTACATAAGCTAAAGGTAACCACCATTCGACTCACTAGAAATGGTGACTGGGAATCCAAAATACGAATCTAAATTACTAGGAACATTAGATCCTCGTCCTCCCTTCAGACGACCAAAAGGGGAAATAGCAAGCGAAGAATATGGCGTTGATCAAGATCGAAATCATCTCAGATGCAATCTGTCCCTGGGTACGTGTGCCAGTCGCAACAGTTACAGTAGCCCTAAAGCTGATCTGCCAAAGTGTTACATTGGGTATCGAAACCTGCAAAAAGCTATCTCCTTATACCAAGAGACATCCCCCGGTGGCTCGAATGACACCATAGAAGTATGGTGGAGACCATACTTCCTCGATCAAGAACCACCAAAGGAAAGCATCTTCATACAAGGTCAGTCATCGATCCTATAGTAAGCACGACACCCTGCCACGAGCCGAACCTAAGTTACGGGCTAGACCGGATGCTCCGCCGCATGGATCCCAAAATGGTAGCAGCGGCCCAAACCCGCTTGAAGCGCGTAGGTGCAGATGCCGGGATCCGCTTCAGGTTCGGTGGGTATATCGGGTCCTTTCGACTAGCGCATCAGCTGCTGCATATGGCCGCTCGGGAGGGGAGTGAGTTGCAGTGTTGGGTTTCAGAGTTGCTCTTCCACTACCAGTTTGAGGAGGAGGCCGATATTAGCCAATTAGGTACTGTGATTGCTGTTGGTGTACAGGCTGGATTGCGTGAATGGATAGCTAGCGGTGCCGGGATAGCCGAAATGGAAGCTGAAGCGAAGAAGGCAAGGGCTGATGGAGTCACCGGCGTGCCCCATTTTGTTATTGGGGGGAAGCATCATATGGAGGGTGCTGTGGATATGTCCCAACTGTTTCAGGCTTTTGTTGCTATTATAGAAGGGCAGTAGAGCTTTCGGAATTGATACAGCGTTGCGAGCGATTGACATACCAATGTTGGGGGTTCACTATCCCAGCCTCAAGCCGTTCCCTCCCAAGTGGTGCACGTAGAAGCCATGTTTGATGCATTGAATGTGCGTCCAAATCCGGAGAGAATAGAAAGGTGTCTAATCGAGGCCTGATGAAGACCCTCTATGAACTTATTACATAGTATTGAACTGTACGAAACACTGATATCGACTGCAAGCTAGTAGAAAGTGTATACGTCTTTGCTATTCTGACTAGAATCACAAGAAGTACCTCTAGTGATACCCAAGTTCCCAGTGCTTAAAAGCCGACTCCCTCTCAGGTATTGTATATGTCACCTAGAGTGTTGTATCCACCCAGTCTATCGAGGCACATGCACGGAAGATTGAAACAACAGTCCAACAATATGAATAATGGATATTGAAGATCTTACCAGAAGCGGTAAACGGTAAATTACATCACTTGTCCAGGAAATCCTCTTCATCGAATCTTCACCTAACACTGGAAACACAAAGGTCTAGGCAGCTACTGTTAGTGCTTATCTCCTGCAGCATTTGCTCCAACAGCCAATCGTAGAAGCACATATCCTGAAATTCGGCATCCGAAGGATTAGAAGCACACGTAAGGACAGGGATGACAATCCTTCGTTCCATTTACTCAAACTCTGACGATTTCTGTTGGCATATCGTCTCCACATAAGGCGTCCAGTCCATCCTTTCTTGCGCGGCAGCCCACTTGAAATCCTGTTTAATATGAGGGTTTAAGAGACATTCCCCATTCAAGTGACTGCTATCGTCTCATGTTCAGCGAACCTCGGTACATATCGGTTTGTTAGAGTTATCTGCATGTGTGGGTACGTTTGTAAGTGGCCATCTTGCCTCCACTGTGGCCCGAATGCATTGACACCTGCGTGCCATTTCAGGCTAAAATGAGCACAATAGCCAGCCGGCCAGTACTCCGTATTCTGAACATATACTTATCTGATTCATAGGTTGAGTACTATTAGGGAATTACTTTCTATAATAGTGTGGCTTCTCATATTATGCCACTAAGAGTAAAGACTGCTTATGGCATCACGACGGTGGATTAGTGATCCGGAGCCCTCATCGAGAACCTTGGCAAGTAGAACTACCCTTAAACAAGCAGGTTCCAACATTAGTATAGACCAGGGATCGAGATCCTTCAGACTATGAATTAGCAGACAGAATAAATTCAACTATGAGACAAGGAGATTTAGTGCTCGGTAGCCGTTGGGGTCCACTCTTTAAACACCTGCATATACGACTGAGTAAACCAGGGTCCTTGTCGAGTGCGTGATCGACATAAGCAGTGGCGTATAACTAGTCTTGAAGAAGCGAATGATGTGCACCCTGGAGGAAATCTTGCCGCTGGAGGCGAGCGGGAATGCGGGTAAAACCGCCTTGCTGCTACTCGCTGTTTTGCCAAAGATTGGGTTAGCAGCTTCAGGGAACTCATACTGCTAAGTTCTGTTGGGTATATTCTCATCAAGGCAAGGTTGCTATTCCTGTTAGCCCGTACTCTACCCTGGTAGCTTCTCATACGTATAAGCCCTGGTTAGATATTGCCACTCAACTGACTATTGTTCTTCAACCTCTCGTTACTCTTGTTCAGGAAGGTTCTCCGAAGAGTTGAGTATCATTCGAAGCACGACTCAGCCCCTATGGAACAGCTGTATTGGAGCATCCTCAACCCGTGTAGGGCATTCTATGCCTGGGAGGGTGTTGCATTCCATGTAGGCCCTCATTCCATCGCAGAATTGTCCCCACCATTGCTTATCTGGACACCGCACACAAGTGGCGACGGCTCAAGACTATTCGACTAAAGCGCTATACGGTATTTGCCGATTACTCAGATTGGAGTGAAGCTATGGGAATCTGATACCGAGGAGTGCAACCCTCTCACATCACATTAGTCCCATAATGATGCATTTACGATTGATCCTCTGAATACCTTGAGAGTTTCGGCTTGTGCCGACGCTCATACACTCGGATTGGCTTATTCCAGAGGATTCTACTCCCAGCACAGATAACAGGATGCAGGGATGGCTGGGCAAGATCAACAACCCTGTCGTCCGAACCATGGTGACAGGACTTACTTCCCCTCTTGAAACACCCCTTCAGGGCAGAGGCGGCGTTGTGAGGCGCGTGGCCTGTACATTTAACTCGGCCGGTACGTCGGCATCGGATTTAGCGTGTCTCGGACGGACGTGCATTCAACATGTAGAATTGCCACCGGTTATCTTAGTGTAATGTGAGTCGAAGATCTAGCGTGCTTGCCTACATTTCCCATGCTACGCTGCCCCTTCGGAAGCACGTCAGGAAGCCGTTGTCTCTTGCCTCAGCGTTTAGTGATTGCGTCGTCTGGATATCCTGCGTCGAGCACATTGCCTAGGCTTTTCTCATCTGGAAGCTACCTGTAATAGTATAAACCCGGAAGTTAATCGAAAATTACTCGCAACGTGTTCCTCTTTTGTTTATGGGCTCTTGGTAAGGTTGGGAAATACCCATGCTACGGACAATGTACTTTTGTCGCCCTAAGCACACCTGTAGGATGATTGATAAGAAAAACGAGCGGAATTGTGGCCGCCATGGCAAGCATCCCTGCCTGTAATATATTTATTATTTTGCACATCTCGTAAAGACTGTGGGTCGAGCAATATGCACGGTATCTAGTTCCTCAGTAGCTGCTGATAAGTCTAGAGCCAGCCCTGATCCCTGTCGATCTCCGCTAAGCCGGATTTGCCGTATGCCGAGGGGGAAGTGATTGGGTGGATATGAGGCTTATGCTCGGGATTGATTATATTAGCACGTTATAGGATGTGGGCCGTATTGCGAATTTGGAGGCATGATGCTGATCGGCGCCATTTTCTATGTGGCTGGCGATTCCCGATTACTGATGTCCAGAGGGACGGAAGGTGGGCCATTGGAGGGCTGAGAGAGATAGGTGTCAATCGTTTCATCTAGTGTGGCGAGTAATATAGATTCTGATGCTCTATTTGCTAAAACTAAAAATCGCATTCTCTAATATCTAAAGCGTCTATCTCTAGCAACTAGGAACTAATCAGCGCTACCTACGAAACCATCTGCCATTGGGAAAAGTCACCGAGCCCCACTTAGTTTGCAGTGACCAGTGAAACATATGTCTGCAGGTTGCTCGTGTGGTGCTCGCCCAACCCTGGCTTATCGCCGATCTCCTTGCCGTGGGTGTGGAAGGCGCTGCTCACGGTGAAGCGTACGCCATTCCATTCCCGGACCACACCGTGTCGTCGGCGCGCAATGTCATTGATCAGAGGAACCACCTCCTCGGCAGCCGTTATAACGTTGCTCACCTTGCCGGGGAAGATGTGGATAACGCCGTCCTTCTCAAAGGTCAAACTGCTTCGGAATTCGGATGTGGTCTTGAGCTTGGCCAGAACACTGCCCTTCCAGCCGCGGTAGTGGAACCGATCGAGGAATCCGGGCCAAAACCGGGTAATCTCCCGCTCGCAGTGGGGCTTGATCCGAGCAGCGATCGCTTCCTCGTCAAGACTATCCAGAAGTGCTTGGCCCTCCTCGTGACGGTCGAATGATCCAAGGATGGTGTAGCTGCCGTGTGTTAAGATATACTTCTTTTGAAGGGGCTCGTTGGTGTCGATCGCCGGCATCACGCAGGGAAACCAGCCATCCATGACGATGAAAGAAAGAGGTTTTTCCTGTGGCTGCTGGTCCTCGTAAACCAGAGCGATACAGGTCTGATACGTGATACCAATGTCGACGGGAAGAGCATCCGCGATGTTCTGTGGCAGAAGGCTGGTGTAGCCGGTGGCGTTGATTACTACGTCGAAGATGTACTGCCCATCCCCGGTTTGAATGCGGTTGGTTTCTTCAGTGTGGATGATACGGTCGACCGTCGTATTGAGGTGCACGTAGATGCCTGCACGACCCAACTTGTCTTTGAACGCATTCCGAAGTCGGTCGCCAATGGCAACGCTGGGTTCGTCCAGATTGTATGCGCTAATAAGGCCCTGGAAGCCATTCGCCTCCGGATCAACCGTAGTACACTCGGGAGATTCGTAGCAAACATCCCTGAATGCCTCATCGGAGACCTTCGATGGGTTACCAAGAGCGTCCGCTTCGCCGTGTGCATATATCGCGGATTCATGGTAGACAACAAGTTCGGGATACGTCTCGCAGAACTTGACCAAGGCTTCACGGCAGCTGTCGCGAGTGGCCTTGGACCGAGGGTAGTGTGGCCCCTTGTGCAAGCGGATACCAAAGTTTCCTGAGACGCCTTGGAAGATATCAGGCTTCTGCTCGAACAAAGAAACTCGGTGGCCTTGTTTCTTGAGCTCCAGGGCCAGATGGCAGCCGTTCCATCCGCCACCAACGATGCCGACTCTTAGCTGTGTCGTGACACGCATTATGAAGAGGCAGGTAGTTATAGTCTAAAGATGATTCTGTTCGGTTCAAAAGACTTGAGAAAGGTGGTTGTTGAAGTAGGGAGGAATAGCCCCCAAGGCTTCACATCGCTTTATATCCTTCCCCCAGCAGGATGGCTTGACTCACTCCGGTGGCCATGTCAAGGGTGCTCTTTCCCTGATTGTAACCCAACATTCCCAGATAACGACATATGCATCCTGAAGCCAATCGCATCCAATGTGATACGAACGGATGAGGTGGAATGAGCGGCAAAGTCGGGATAGATGATTGTCGACGACTCCAGAAGATCGTAACATACTTGAATGAGGTTTTGATGCATGTCAGCGCTCGATAATGTCACATCCGCGGCGATGCATCCGCGAAACAGTGTCCAATGAAAGGGTCGGAGGACGGCACGAAAGGAAGCACGCTAGTCGGGATGTGCAGCCTTTGCAGTGGACAGTGCGCCCTGCAGAAAACAGAAAAACATTCTGCAGGTATGGTATCATCGCTTAAGGATTCCAATCCTAGCAGATACCCGTCGGGGGATAACGGGATCCCGAATT